AAGATTTCCCGAGTGCAACAACTACAAGACACTAACAGCAAGCGTCCATCCTGGTCCTCTGACTCTTAAAATCTTTATGCTCCCTCTACCAGATAGATGGGCCCACTGGTACTGCGCACCCCACGGTCGCTTCCTCTTTACATTGTGGGTCTCTAGTAGTTTCTGTAGGCTGCAAATACTCAGCTCTTTGCCAGACAGTGCTTTGGCTGTCCCAGACTCATGCCAGCACTTTACAGGCACATGTCAAGACAGCCCTTCTCTAGATTCAAATCTCTGCTGTTTCCCCCTCCAACCAGAGAAATCATTATCCTAACATCCAAACAGAATGTTCTAGAATTGCCTATGTCTTACTTCCTCCTACATAGCCAATAAAACATTAAGCTTTGCTTTAGAAAAAAAATCACCTTGTTTATTACTGGGGGCACATGTGTCGCTGTGTGCATGTGGAGGTCAGAGGACAACTTGACCTCCCCACACTGTAGGTCCTGGGGAAATACCTTTATCCACTAAGTTACTTCAAACTCCTAAATCTCTCTCTCTTTTAGTCTTTTGAGACAGGTTTCCTCTGTGTAGTCCTGGCTCTCCTGGAACTCACTCTGTAGACCAGGTTGGCCTTGAACTCAGTGATCCCCTGCCACCACTGCCTGGCCTAATGTTCCTCAAGCCCAGTTCCCTTCTCAGTTTCCACTGGCCTAGATATATCTCATATAATCTTTCAGAATGAATGACCTGCTTCCTCTACATGCACAATTTACTTCCTTGAATTCATTTGTCTTGTACAACTAATCTTTCTGAAAAAAAAAAAAAAAGTACATATGACTTAAAATCACTAACAGCTCCCTGTCATCACAACTGCCTGTAACTCAAGCTCTAGGGGATCCAATGCCCTCTTCGGGCCTCCAAGAACACCTAGACAGAATGTGGTGCGCATACATACATACACTCAGATGAGCACACTTGAACACAAACACAAAATATTTTTTTTAAAGAAAACCCTTTAACAAGAAAAACATGGCAAATACCAACAGAAAAAAATAGGCAACCGATATGAATAAGCTATGAATAAAACATGAATAATTTATGAATAAGTTTAAAAGAGGAAGTCCATGAGGTCATCAAGAAATGTTTAAGCTTGGGGGTTGGCAAGAAGATTCAGCAAAGCACTCGGGAGGCAGAGGCAGGCGGATCTCTATGAGTTCGAGACCAGCCTGGTCTACAAGAGCTAGTTCCAGGACAGGCTCCAAAACCACAGAGAAACCCTGTCTCAAAAAAAAACCAAAACAACTACAACAAAAAGAAGTAAGCAAGAATTAGTAAGAGCATAAAGAATGTGGAAGGGGGAAATGGCCGTGTTCTGGGCGAGGAACTTAATGCAGGCAGTTCCAGAAAACAGTCCTTGGGAAAGTCCTTTTCCCCTCTTCTGTGATAACTGCAGGACTCAAGAGAAGAAATGCCTCCAGCCGCTGCCAGCTTGTGGTCACTTCGAATTGTGCCAGTTTCTCTTTGCACAGTAGCTGTAACAATTAGGAAATCCCAGAGAAGCAACTGAGTTTAGCTCACTGCAAGGGGGGGGGGGC